GTCCACAAGTACACGAAACCAAGGAGTGTCATTTGATTTGCCATTTTCCCTTTTAGCCATAAATGTTCCTTGCACTCCTGCTTGACCCTTTGCCAGTCTGTACTTTTATGAATGAATGCCCCAATACCACCCCCCTTTCTGCTGCCTTCTGTTCTATTACAATATTCCCACGCGTAGTCCGGATTGTTCGGAGGTTGTTCCATGTCCCTAAGATGTGTTTCTGCAAAACCGTATACCATCGGCCTCTCTTCCCTTATCTGTTCTTCTATCTCTTTCCACTTAAGCCTGTTCCTACCACCCTGCATGTTAATATACCCTATGTCTGAATTGGCTCGGCGCTCGTGGCTACGTCTGTTTATGCCCCGGACTCTACCTATCATAGATAATGGTGCCACTTTGGAATCGCATCTGTCCATACCACCTGTCAAAGAGTCTCCCTGGCTGTTTTCCTCGTTACTAGCTATACTGCACCCCGAAGGGCTCGCTTGCCCTCCAAAAAAGCTACTGCGCGTCCTGCAAGTCGCCAACCCACCTCATGACCTAGCCGCCCATCGAAGTGAATTCTGTCTCGTTGAAAACCCCCCCACCTATGCACCTCTCTGTTTATTTCCACCACCTCAAAGCCTTTCTCTCGACTCATCTACCATATCTCTTGGTTTGCGTTGGCCACCGCTCTTTGCAGGTTGCTATCACGCACCGGTACCTCCGGTATTGTGCATATCACTACCTGTACCTTAGGAGAAGTGGCGCGCATGTCATCGACGCCTTTCGCCAGTGTGGCTGCTAGTCCTGCTGCATCTTCATTGAGGACATCGTTTAAACCGCCTGAAATTATCACGAGGTTTTGTCTATCAGCTGTCGTTTTGAGCTTTGCGCTCGCTTGCCTCATGACTGCTTCCAGCTTGCGTCCTGGGAACGCCCCTACTGCAACGCTCTTGTCACCTCTTAACCTCTCTTTGATGCCTTCTGTGCATCGATTTAAATTCGAGTCCCCGGCGATTATCACATGCTGTGACTTTTCAGCTGGAGCGTTCCGCACCTGGGGGCTACTTGCACCTGTGCCGCCAGCTTCTTTGTTCCCTCTCTGCCCCACCACTACCTCGCTGAAGCTGGGCCTTGGGACAGTTGAACTGGCTAAACCTGTTTTTTCCAAACTTGCTTGCTTTTCCTTCTCCACAGTTCTGGTTGCCGGTTCCCTACTGTTTTCTCGGTAGGTCGCTTCTTTGTTCAGCTTCGCTAGCGCTTCCTCGGCGGACTTCAGTCTTTCTCCCATTGCCCTCGTTTCCTCTTGCTCTGTCGCCAACGCAGTCTCGAGCTCGGCGATTCTTATCAGCAGTTCACTCTGGGCAACCATCATTTTCTCCATTTTTTCCTCCACCTCACATTGCCTACACTTCGCGTCAGCCTCTTCTCCATCCGCTTCTACGCTTGGGTCCACTTTCAAACCCACTCCACATCCTGAACACTTTACAGTCTTTTTAACCATGCCTTTCTGACACCAATTGTCCCTATACTCGATAATTACTAAACTCGAGCCCTGCACTTCGAAAAAAAAGAAAGTCTAAGCTCTACTACAAAAATTTGCGTGTTCAATGTACGCGCACCTCCCCCACGGGGTGGCAAAAGAAAATAAAGAACAACAACAAAATTTCAAACACACACACCCGCTCTAACTAATAAATACCTGGTGTCTGGCCCCCGAAAAAGCCGTACCATAAAATAAGTGCTACGAAGATTTCAACCGCTGCCTTATAATTATAAATACAAGCTCAAAACATGCAAAAACACTTATCTGCGCAGTCCATCCGGAGCGCTCAAAAAACACGTCCATCCACCTTGACAGCCCGAACTGAAACTGGGTAGTGTGCCTCCGGTAGTGTGGCGCCATCTGTCTGACGGGGACACAGGCGTTCGCAGTGAAGCACCAGGTGATCAATGTTCTCCTCGTCTTTCCCGCATGTCCTGCACTGCACAGTGCTGTCGGCCAACGACGGGTCGAAGTGACGGCGATACACCTGAGTACGGAGCGCTCCAGCACGGGCCTAAAACAGAAGCGCACTGCCGACATTATTGTCGTATAATCGTTCGGCGGATATGGTGGTCTTGTGAGCTCTGTATAGGGCCAGGCTGGGTTTTTTCTCCGTAGCCGCCTGCTACATCGACGTCTCAGCTTCCTGCACTCTATTCCGTACTCCTACTGCCCATTTCCTCTCACTGTCCTCCTGGACAGGGTCAGTAAAAAGGGAGTACTTGCGGCACAGATTGTGGAGACGCCTGCGCCATGGTGTGTTCATGCCCTTGATAGCTGTGTATCTAAATACACGACGGGCCCACCGCTGGTCGTTCGTGAGGCGAAGACGTCCTTCGTAGGCCGCCTTGCTCCTTGCCTCGCGTGCCTCGTAACTTGACCATCCTAGGTCGCCTTGTACAGCTTCGACAGCTACACGTCCATGACACGCCAGCGCCAGTCGCCCGACCTCACGCTGACCTCTTTCCAACCACTGGCGTGTTGCTACAGACAGGCAGATGACGGCGTTGGCGAAAGTCAGCACTGGCACATGTACTGCCTTTCACAGTTCGGGCACCAGTACAAACCGGTTGAACCCCCACAGACTCCGCCGTCTCAGCACGTTGGCGGCCCTCACAAAAGCCTGTCGAACGTGCTCCTCTTGCTTGTCATAGATATCTGCGGAGGCGCAAAGGTTGACACCGAGATACCGGTACTGGTTTGATACCAGAATGCTTCCTCCGTCGGGAAGCTGCACATCAATGGTCTCCACGCCTGAAAACTACAATATGGCCGATTTTTTGGCATTGAAGCTAAGGCCCAGACTCTTCAGGTGGTCGGCCGCCAGTGTTACCAACCTCTGAAGGTCACTGCTGTGCTCAGCCAGTAGTGCGAGATCATCAGCGAACACCAAGCCGGGCAGCGTCCATGTCTGCGCCACCCCACCAATCATGAGTCGGAACGCGAAGCCAACTCCCGATTCCACGAGTGCCTGCTCGAGTCCCGCCACATATAGCATGTATAGCAGCGGAGACAAAGGGCAGCCCTGTCTGAGTCCTCTTGTCACCCTCACAGGCTGTGTTCTAGTGCCTCTGAAGCATGCTACCACCGAGCTATCTGCATAGAGCCGCCGGAGAAAGTCTGTCCACACGCTCGGCATTTGTCGTTGGTCTAACTGGTGGAAAAACTCCTCGTGTGGCACTCTATCATAAGCCTTGGCGACATCCAGAAAGCATCCAAGCAGACCTCTGGTTTCTCTCCGTGCCACCTCGATGGTGATGATGATGATGATGATGATTAAAGGCCTCCCCTTTAAATCGGGGTGACAGCATGCGCCATCTAGCCTACCTTAATAGTTCGAGTTTAAATTTTGTCCCTCAACTCGGATGTCTTTTTAATTTTGCCCAGCCGCTACTCTTGGCTGGGATGTTATTTTATCGACTTCTCTGCTTTTCCTCCACCAATACTCCAGCCGCTGCTTAGTAATACCTACTGCTGACCAGTTAATGCTTCCATCAACCGCGAAGCCCAGTGCCTCAGGAAGTGTGACTTTCCCCCATTTTTATCCGGCTGAATCTTTTGGCATTCCATGACTATGTGGTCGATTGTTTCTTTATTTATGCCACATCCAACACATGTCTCATCCTGTGACGAATATTTGCTCCTGTAAGTTAGAGTTCTCAAGCAGCCAGCCCGCGCCTCAAAGAGCAACGCACTACCTTTATTGTTGTCATAAAAGTTCTCTTTCCGGATCTCTTGTTTGCCTGCCTTGTAGATTCCCAGCGATCCCTTCTTTTCCATCCTCTCTTTCCACATGAGCGTCTCTGTTTCCCTCACTTGCTTTTTAACTGGCCCCCTTTGTTTATTTGCCGCGGTCAAGTTATATTTAGTCGCCAGCTTTCACGTCCTCTTCCGCCATTGGGTGTCCACACTTTTCAGGTACAGGTACCTGTGCACTCTGGCTGTCCAGTTCTTCTCATCTAAATGTCTAAGTCGCTCCTCAAACCGTATTTTACTTTGTGCTTCCCTCGCCTCAAATGAAGCCCAACCCATATCGCCTTGTACAGCCTCGTTTGTAGTCTTACTGTGAGCTCCCACAGCTATCCTGCCGACTGCCTTTTGGTTAACCTCCAGCCCCGACAGGATATCTGACTTTAAGCATAATACGGCATTAGAGAACGTGAGCGCCGGCACCATTACCCCTTTCCAGATGCTTCGTACTACCTCGTACTTATTGTATCCCCAAAGTGCTCTATGTTTCATTACTGCTGCATTTCGTCTCCCTTTCAGTTTGAGGTGTTCTTCATGAGCATTCAGGTAGCCTTTTCCTTCATTAAGCCAGATCCCCAAGTATTTGTACTTATTTACTAATGGTATGGCTTCCTGTTGTATCCTTATTGGTGCTACATGAGCTTCCTCGTTGAATACCATGACTCCAGATTTCTGTGGGTTAAAATGTAGGCCTAGGTACGTTGCCTCATCACCACAAATGTGAGCCAGTTTTTGAAGATCTTCCGCATTATCCGCCAGCAGCACTATATCGTCTGCGTACATCAATCCCGGAATCCGTTGCTCCACTAACACTCCATTGTTTCGGTGTGACAAATCAAAGCCCAATCCACTCACCTCTAGTCGTCTTTCCATTCCTCTAATGTACAGTGTGAACAGCAATGGCGAAAGAGGGCACCCCTGTTTTAAACCTCTTCGAATGTACACGGGCTCTGTGTATGTACGCCCTTCCCATGTAATGTGTGCCTTGTTATCCTCATATATTGCCCTTAGCAGCCCTACAAATTCAGACCCAATCCCCTCCTCTTCCAGTATATGCCACAGCAATCCCCTGTCCACGTTGTCATAGGCACCCTTTATGTCCAGAAACAGTAGCCAGCGAGCGTGAGCGCCAGCGAGCGCTCGCAGGCTACTGTTGTAGGGCATAAAGCGCCAGCGAGCGTGAGCGCCACCGTGCGGTTGCATCCAAGAAGCGCACGCGAGCCGCAGGGACCTAGTCACAGTTTCCCAATCCAGCCACTGTAGTACAGAGGCTAAAAGTTCCAGCCTCTCGTAGTATTACCACAAAACACCTTTACAGTTTCTAGAAATATACGTGGTATGTAGTAGGTGTTCTGGGATCTGGCAGCACTGGGTTCACTCAACGCCTTTCAATTCTTGATTCAGATGTGGAAGTAGCGCTGTGCGGACTGTTTTTGCAACGCTGGTTTTTGTGTTTCTCGTCGTGAAAAATCTCAGGCACGTCATCTCGTTCTGTGTGACGGCTTTGTGACAGTGGTAAGGGTGCCACGACCGCCTGAATAGACCGAGGAAGGGGCCGATTAGAAACTCGGTCCGTGCGAAAATGCCCCAGTCGTTGGATCAGTATCTATCTTCTCTGCTCGCAAAGGTAAGCCACTTCGTCCACCTGTATGACTGCCTTGCATAATAAGCTCCTGGGCGTGCTTTAACCTGTAAATATCTTACAGTAATGCAGCGCAACGAAACGTAGACAAACGCGTTATGTCATGACGATAAAATGTTTCATTGATTTGTAGGGTTTAATGTCCCAAAACCACCATATGATTATGAGAGACGCTGTAGTGAAGGGCTCCGGAAATTTCGACCACCTGGGGTTTTTTATTGTGCACCCAACTCTGAGTACACGGGCCTACAACATTTCCGCCTACATCGGAAATGCAGCCGCCACAGCCACAGCCGCCACCGCTGTCTCACACATCTACATGTGAGTGGTTTAGGTCACATGTGAGTGACACTTGAATCTGTAGAGAAATCAGCAGTCATGGAGACACTGCGAAATCGGGGCGTCGCCGAAACATATATAACACCCTGGAAGAAATCTACAGAGTATCAACTGCCATCATAGTGCTCCATAAAGAAGGCGACAGAATACCAATAAAGAAGGGTGTAAGACAAGGGGATGCAATCTCCTATTGCTATTTACCGCATATTTAGAGAAGATTTTCAAAAGCCTAGAATGGGAATAGTTAGAGATAAGAGTTAATGGGGAGTGCATTGGTAACCTGCACATTACGGATGACATTGCATTGCTGAGTAATTAGGAGTGAATTGCAACCTATGATTACTGAATTAGACAAGGAGAGGAGGAAGGAAAGACTTCAGATTAATTTGCAGAAAATGAAAGTAATGTACAACAACCTCTGAAGAGAACACCACTCAAAATGGGTAGCAGTGCACTTGAAATTGTAAAAGAGTATGTCTACTTAGGACAGGTACACACCGCAGAGCTGAACCACGAGGTTGAAGTAACTAGAAAAATAACGCTGGGGTGGAGTAAATTCGGTAAGCATTGTCAAGTCATGAATAGTAGATTACCACTATCAGGGGTGCAACAGCTGTGCCAATTTGATACAATTCCTATATTGTGCACCCAGCTGCACCAAAACCATGAAATTTCCTGGAATTGCATGCACCACGCTGCACCAAAATGCCTGAAAAACCTCAAAATTCTCTCATTTACTCTAATATGGGCGAGAAATAGAGGCCACTTTGGCGTCCTGTAGTTAGCGTCATCAATCAATCCAAGTGGGCAGACCCTAACCCTAAACTGCGGTGTACGATAGTTGCTCATTAGGCCAAGACACTCGCGAAACGTGATAGACCATATGAAGTAACAACGCCGTGCGCCCACGAGTCTGCTGCCCACAGCGGATATCTACTGGCGGGACGACGCAACTTAAGACAAAAAGCGTGGTTGTAACCAGCAACACCTCGCGAGAAATATGAATTTCCTAGTCAGCAAACACGGCCAAGCATGTTAGGAACCATTAGGAATTAAACCTTGAAGTCTACAGACTTGCAGTACATCATGGTTGTGCGCTTCCAGCTTTCGTTCATGCCATGACCACGTTAGTTGCAATGCCACATACGATTTATATGTGGTGCTGTTGCCAGGCCAACGGGCACGTGTCATTGTTGCATTATCTGATCAAATGCGCCTTGCAGCAAGCTGAAAAGTTGTGCTCTGAACCTAACCCCTTCATGAATAAAAATAGGAAGAGGCTAGTGGCAAGAAAATTTTTTTGTTTGTTCTAACCTGTGCAGAAACATCACTTAAGCCACCTTCGCAGCAGTACACGCGTGGCCTGCAAAGAAGCGTTTTAAGATTTGAATGGGGCTTATAGCAGTTGTCTCAAGACACAGCACAGTTTGTTGAGTTACTGATGCCTATATATGCTGCATTATTGTGAGTACTAATATGATTGCTGGCATTTAAAAAGTTAGCGACAGAATGATCTGGAGTACTGTATGACATTTCTGCAGCTGTAAAAATTCAAGCAGAACCTTGTGGCAGTTTTTTTTTCCAGTTTTACGAATCTCATGGCCACTATTTCGGAAACCCACATTTTAATCCTCAGGCTCTGTCAAACAAGTTGAGAGGCGTGGTGAATTCTAATATAGACCACACCATTGTTTGCTGAGTGGCGTGGTTAAATGAAATGCTGGTTTTGTTGAAATAGCTCATATTCACTCTGCATGATTTCGGAAATGTTGAATGACTTGTACATATATTGCTTTTTCTAAATCTAGTCATTCTTTCTCATGCTGCTGCAAAGTTGGTCGTTCGTAATAAGAAAATGAATGTTCTTCCCCTGTAACCTGCTCCAAACTAGGATTTTATTGCTTCAAAAGTAACATTTTGATGCTCCAAAAATTGCTCCAAATTCTATTTCTGTTGCACTCCTGCACTATCCCTCAAGAGGAAGGTATATAACAGCTGCATCTTGCCGGTACTTACATACAGAGCAGAAACTTGGAGGCTTACAAAGAGGGTTCAGCCTAAATTGAGGACGATGCAGCGAGCAATGAAAAGAAAAATTATGGGTGTTACATCAAGAGACAAAAAAGAGCAGTGTATATCGGGAAAAAAAAGGGTGTTAAGGACATCATAGTCAAAATCAAGAAAAAGAAATGAGCAGGGAATGTAGCACGAAGGCAAGATAACGGCTGCTCATTAATGATCACAGTTTACATTCCAAGGGAAGGCAAGCAGGTGAGGGGGAGACAGAAAGTTAGCTGGGCAGATGAGATTAGTAAGTTTGCATGTATGAAGTGGCAGGCCCAAGCACAGGATTGAGTTGACTGGCAGAAAATGGGAGAGGCCTTTGCCTTGCATTAAGTGTAGTCAGGCTGATGATGATGTGATGGTCAGTGTCCTGGGTAACCTACGGTAACAGCAAACGATCGCACTGCTTCACCCACTCATCATCATCCACTTCGTGGATATACTGTGATTTTAGGTTTCTTAGTATGTTTTTGTTTGAATTTTTTGCCTTGCTCATCTTCAAATTGTTCATCACTTGTCACCTGATTTTACTGCAAAAGCTGCTATCAGATCACAAGGGCAGTGGTAGTGGGGTAGCTGTTCGCTGCTGCCAGTGTTCGTAACAGCTATCAGGTATAATTAGAAAAAAATAAAAACAAGAAAAATTTTTCAGAACCTTGGCCACTCTTAGTGCCTATCATCATCAATCAAGCATAAGAACCTCTAATAGTGGGTAAGGTTCCATGCCCTTAACCTCGCTTCTCAAGATGAAGCAATGGAATCAACCTGGTAACAGATACCACCACTAATGGCTGTTATTCTTCCATGCCACCTACCTAGCCATTGCGAAGCAGCTACTGTCTGCTCTCGATCGTGGCTCTGGTGACAGGGGTGCAGGTTGAGGCCCTAGTATATTACAGTGAAACCTGTATTCAGATTCTAAAAGGAGCCGTTTTAGGCACCATAGTTATACGTCATTGCCAGCGCTTGTGTCCCTAACCTCTATGCTGTCTTGGGAAATAAGAAGGAATGCATTGGAGAAATTAAGGAATTGATGAAATTTAAACCCGGGGCTTCTGCTTAGCATTCAAGTATTACCACAGAGCCACTCTGATTCTTGAAACCCCTTCATGAAAACGCCCTATACAGGGGTCATGTTGGGTAAGGAAACGTGTTCACATGTTTAATATTGTGTCGTATAAGAGAAAAATAACAACTATGCATGATGCGAAGCAACTTTGCAACGAGTGGGTCATTGAATGCTTTCAGATGAAAGTTAAGCCATAATTCTTCATCAGCCACAACACAAGCAAAGTGCATTTAATGTTTTACATGTGTGCAGCCTTACCTATCTACCAACTAATGAATAATTGCGTAGTGGGTGCTTCCTGAAAGTGGTTTACAGCGTGTTGGGTGCCTTGCATGTGTAACCTATATCAATTGCCCCTGTAGAGTCTATATAATATGCTCTTAAAGGGACGCAGGTCCAGCTTTGTCTCTGACTGTGCTGCATGTTCTGTGCTGGCTTGGTGATTTTTGTCATCTATGTATCTTTGTGCTCTGCACAACAAACTTAGATGGAAGTTAGCGCTTGTCTAAATGGAAGTTAGCGCTTCGTGTGCCTTTTGTCCTGAGTTTCAACTCAGGACAAAACTCATCATTATTAGTCTGTTGCCAACTCATGACGAGATCACGTAATTTATTACACTTGAGAACAGAACAGACCAGCCTCTAAAGCTGTTGCTGTGTGGCCTAAAGTTCTAAAAATGTCAGCCTTCTGGCCAGTTCACATTTTTGTGTGTTGTTCTCTTACAGTACCATTATCCTGACCAGGCCAGGAAGGACATCACTAATGTACTCCAGCACTATCGGAACCTCTCGCCAACTACATCGCAGTTTGGTAAGCCTTACTTTTAAGACGAGCCAGTGAAATTTTGTTTTATCTGAACTGACTGCTGAAGCAACACTCGTTATCTTAGTGGCAGCCTTCATATAAATTAGCATATCTGAAACAATATGCCATTGGTTTTTATAAGCTTTTATGTTGCTACACATTAATCTTTTACGGGAAATGTTCTCAGCGTATACGCTTGAAATTTGTATGAGGAACAAGATCTTTTTGGAGGCCAAATGCAATTAGCCTTTACCAAGGCCTGTGGGAAATTTCGACCAATTACGAAAAAATTTCATCTCAGATGTATCAGACTACTAACAGCTTGCAAGTGACCATCATTGGAAGGCCTTGAGAGGAGCTGTTTTATTCGTTATTCATTGGTTGCCCCGCCGCGGTGGTCTAGTGGCTAGCACCTTGGCTTCTGACCCGCAGGTCGCGGGATCGAAATCCTGGCTGCGGCGGCTGCATATCCGATGGAGGCAGAAATGTTGTAGGCCTGGGTGCCCAGATTTGGGTGCCCGTTAAAGAACCCCAGGTGGTCGAAATTTCCGGAGCCCTCCACTACGGCGTCTCTCATAATCATATGGTGCTTTTGGGACGCTAAACCCCACATATCAATCAATCAATCGTTATTCATTGATTACCATATTTAGCCAGAAGGTGCTACAGATGAGTATTGATCAAAACAGATTTCATTGAGGCTGCAGTGGGATTGACAAAGACAGCAAAGAAAAAGACGGTGCTGATGATCAGCTGAAGCATATTTGATAAATAGCACATATACAATATGGACCAACATGAATTCAAGTGTAGAAATGGTACCGCAAAGACGGGAAGTAGATAAATCAGTAGATATTTATTTCAGACAATGAAAAATAACGTATGTACATTTGTCTTGTCAAGACAAGTGACAAAATGCCCCTTCCCCCCCTTCCCGAAGGGGAATTGGAGGAAATTCGAATGCATTGCGTAGCGTCCGTAAGGGAGTTTCGCATGTGAGAATTGATAGAATATTGTTTTTTTTTTGTTACACCGTGCAGCCACATCTGGCGTTTTTCTGCCGTAAGAAATGCGGTATGCATTTCCAGCTCTAGAAGCTAGCGTGCACGGTCAAGGGGAGATGCGGGTCGAAAAATGCGAGTTTTTTTTTTTCAATATTACCGATTTTTTATTTTTGCCTGTTTTAATAAGAATAGTACCTCTACTGTTATGAAAAAAGTAATACAGGTCAAGACTTACCTGGAAATGCATTAAAATTGCATCTAAAGAGCACAAGGTGCCTGTTAAAAGGTCGAAAGTGTGCAGTCTTCGAGCACCTTGCCGCCGATAATGCGCCGCCGCTAGCCATTGTTGATCGCATGAGTCGAAGAATCGAGCCTCACTCTTCAAATAACAACAGTTTCTCTTGCTGATGCAGCGCAAGAAATAATAAAACAATCACTCTTTTGCGCGTTTTTCGAGCGCCGCGACTGGCTTATCACATAGTACGAATCTGGGACCCCCATTGGCCACTACGCCCCTGTATGTGCTGTGAAACCTATTTGCGGGGTTCATGTCTTGTCAAGGAGCGTAGCTGAACAATGCTTTTCTCGTGTAAATATTCTCTGTTATGAATGGAAAATGGCATTACTCGCAAGTGAAAGCCGTTGTGCGGCGCGCTCTGTAAGAATGACATATGAGCAGCTGGTCCAATTTGCGGCAGTTGTTGGCTTGCAAAAGCCAATGCATCAAAGTCGTTCACACCCGTCAAACAGTAAGTTCGTGATGCGGCAATAGATGACGTCAGCGCCAATCTTGAGAGATCGAAAGAGCTCGCTGTGAGAGTACTTAGCAGGGACGACATTGCCATTATGTACGACGGTATGTGGCACAAACATGGCTTCAAAATGACAAGACACTGGACTTGGTTTGGATTTGGCAGTCTTGTCACACTTCTTTCTTTTTTGCAGTTGGCACAAGGCTCTGCCAGATAAAGTGGATATTTGGCAAGCGTTTCATGGCCCTGTCTGTGAGCGAAATGTCTGTGAGGAGTCGGCTCGAAAACGCCTAGAGGGACAAACTCATTGTGCTGGCGTATTTTAGTCGCAGTGGCCACTACAAGAAGGATTGTTCTTTTTGGTGTGCGAATTTCATCAGATTTGATAATATATGTTTTTCCAAAATATAACAAATGCACTTATCTAGTTTAAATTTCAATATTTTATTGTATAATGAAAAATTTGTATGTATACCTTTACTAGGTTAGGGGAAATATGCACTTTTTACGTTTATTATTTTTCACGTGTACTACATATTTTGTATGTGCTTCTTAATTAGTTATTTGCACTCTACACTTCATTTGAAGCATTATGAACTATGAATGGTAAAAAATTACAGAATTTTAGGGATGAAAAGAGGGGGGGGGGGGGGGCAAAATAGTTGTTTTCACTTTGTCATGTTGCAGTGCTAAAAGTGTGTAACTTGCAAGAAAACTGATTATATATTTGAAATCAGCATAAAAGTTTCATAAACAGCTCAAGTTTCATTGCTCTAGGATGGACATTAAGGAAAAAGTGTCTTCGAGTAGCATCTCCTCTTAAAGAATACTATGAAGTGAACGAAACAAACAGAATTTTTGTCTTGGCGTTGGCGTTTAACAACAGCGTCTCGAGCACATATTTCATGTTGTTCTTGAGAGGCGCTCAGCCAACGAACGGTCGAGAGTGGACAGGAAAGTGAGGCGCAGGGAGGAAAGACAGCGAATGGCGAGAGAAGGAACGGCAAAGCACTGTACCTACCCTCTCCTACACTCTTGCACCACATGCAGTGATCCCACTCCTGCGCCGATTGGGCCTAAGTAATGGACAATGCTATGCTTGTTGCCAACGCAACATCTCTTGTGCAAGTCCTCATAACGGTGAAATGCGCTCTTTGCAGGGGTTCGTGACGCCTAGTTCAATCAGGTCGTGAAACTGTGGCTGTGATTTGTCAGTGGACTTTTTGATATCGCGGTCCAATTTCTCGCGCTTTGCGTCCACAGAACACGTGCTCAGTAGAAACCGGTCAGCACTTTTACTTTATTTTTAATTATTCACGAATCTTTATTCAGAAGTTCATTTTTGTAATTCCTTCCACCAGTACATCCACGTTTGTAATCGCAGTTGCGGTAAAAGCACCTATAACACCCTGCTATTTCGAACTTGAGATTGCCTTATTCGAAATTTTTGCATGTTTTTTTTTATGTCATCTCATTATCAATAGCATGCTTCTTAATTGGAGCAGCCAGAATTCGTTCGTTAATACGTGCAGCTTTTAATAAAGAAGCTATCGCTGGCGGCTCTGGGGTGAAGTGGCTACGCCTTGTTACACGTCGGCCTCTGGCATTCCAAAGTGAATAGCTGTTGGTTAAAAAAATTAAACATCAGGTTATAGCATTCATTGCTTTGTTGTTGTTTTTTTTGGTGGGGCGGGTGGGCGGGTGGGAGGGAGAGAGGATGTAAGCTGCATTGCTTGGAGGGTGCATTCATGAGCTTGCTATCTCGAGGCCTAATAAGACATGCTCCTAAAGTTTCTGGGCTACTATAACCTCTGCTTTGAGCTTAGTTAACTGACAGTGCAAAAACCGCTTCATCAATCGGAGTGATCATTGTTCCTATAGCCAGCGTTCATCTGAGTTATGTGAGGTTGTGTTCAAAAGATAGTATTTATTAGTTTCACGTAGGCTCTTAGCAAGGAATGTGATTGATTTGATTGATTGATTTGTGGGGTTTAACGTCCCAAAACCACTATATGATTATGAGAGACGCCGTAGTGGAGGGCTCCGGAAATTTCGACCACCTGGGGTTCTTTAACGTGCACCCAAATCTGAGTACACGGGCCTACAACATTTCCGCCTCCATCGGAAATGCAGCCGCCACAGCCGGGATTTGATCCCGCGACCTGCGGGTCAGCAGCCGAGTACCTTAGCCACTAGACCACCGTGGCGGGGCAAGGAATGTGATAACAACAGTCTGTTTGCATTGAGAGTACTAGACGTAAGGGTATAACAGCCGTCTTTAATGCCTGCCAAATTAGCGAAAGTGCCAGTGATCTCACCAAAAGTTCATAACAGCCCCCCCCCCCCTTGTGTTCCTAGTTCCTACCTGCCTTTTGAAGATGGGTGACAGGTTCCTCTCTGCTTTAGTAATAATTTATGGAAGGCCTGGCACAGGGGGTGATGCTGTCGCATCTGCACTTCGTGCAAGGGGGGTAGGTCAGCTCTTTTATTGGGCAGTTTCTGCTGGTTTTTGCCGCCACCACCGTCATTCGCCGTATATATATATATATATATATATATATATATATATATATATATGTATATACACGTCATATAGTTTTATATAGTAATGCCTGGAGAGGAAGCTGGCGCTGCGATCGTGTACCCTTGTGGGAATTACGGGAAGTACAGGCTTCGGATTGGATCGCATTAGCCAGTAAACCGTCCACTGATCTTTTTCTGCAGCTTCAGTTTCGTTCTTCCCATGGAGTGAGTAGTGGGATGGGTGCAAAAGACTGAAGATGCACCTTGTTGTTCAAAGAAGCTGAAAACTGCTAGGCCTCTCAATTCACTGCAACGCTGGAGCTGTATAAGTCGTGTTTGACAGTTTTAGCGAAGCGTCGTCCACTCACTGCTGCGCATAGATGTAGCGTCTCGTGCAAGTGCAGGATATTGCATCGAGCTCACGATTGTTGTTAGTGTGTCTTGCCAAAACTTGTTGACATCAACAGCAGAACGACGGCGGCGCGAAGTAGACGCACCGTCACGCTCTTCTAACTCGTCTTCACAACAAAACGAGAGGTGCGTTGGGGGCAGACCAATTGAACAGATGCATCTGGCATCGCTGCAGACGAAACATTGTTTCTCACTTAATACTGTGCTGTTATTTTCATAAATAGATATTGCGTACATTTGAGGGCAAACTAAGAGGGTTTGTTTTGAAATGTTGTAAAAAATAAATCATTTTATCTTCATGCCAAATCTTGAACGC